GAGTTTTTTTTGAATTTTTCCGGCCATGCCCGACCCGCCCTTGCCCAAAAGCCCGAGTTGCTCGAAACCCGCCAATGAAAATGTTAGTTGCTACAAATTGGGGCATTTTGAGAATCGAACTCGGGACCTCTCGCACCCAAAGCGAGAATCATACCACTAGACCAAATGCCCATATTTGTTATTTAAATTTTTAACTTATTAATTAAGGTAAACACACAATTCTTTAATAGAAAGAGCAAATTCCTATTTTAGCAGTTTAATATTTCAGTTTTCACATTCTTGACCCTTTTTTATAATCAATCACATGATAAAAGGATTCCTCAAAAAACAATATACACAAGGAAAGAAACACATTGCCATCACGTTTTTATTATTTTTTATTTTTAAAAAGTGATGTTTCTATATAATGCCAGTTTTGTTCTTATAGATACTAGTGTTTTTCTACTCTATATCACTCTTCTTTCTATCTTTATCTATTTTTCTGTTCACAATCTCTCCTCATCCTCTTAATTATCTTTTTTTTTTCTTCCATTTTCTTCACTTTCTTTGTGACTCTATATCAAAGTAACTTTCTACTTGCATACCAAAGTAAATTAATAATTTATCAAAAGTCACTCAATGATTGGTTTAATAACTTCATCGCTATTTGATGATCTCTATTTTAAAAGACCAGTCACTCAATGTTGAAGCCTTGGTTTGCATTAAGGATTGGGATTAGGCCGATCAACGTCTACAAGATACAATTTCACCGGCAATTCAAGAATGGATCGATGAATTTAATCGATTAACATTTAATTTTGAAGACAATCCTCCAGCTTCAAATTAAATTGTAAATTTGTAATTTGTAAATATGTATTTACCTTTGACATTGTATTTGTAATTGTATAACTTTGTAAGTTTGTAAAAATTGTAATTCGTCACAATATGATTGCACTCTTTTTTCCTTGCCAAGTTTATATCCCAATTGGGTTTTTCTTGGTAAGGTTTTTAACGAGACAATCATGAATTACAAATTTAAAAATTAATAAAGAAATAATTTTTTTATATAGTTCGTGTGTTCATTTCAAATTGTAATATATATATATATAAATTTTAACACAAAATAACTTAATATTAAAAAAAATTTTAAAAAAAATTTGGGCTACTCGGGCGGGCTTGGGCGACCTAATACAAGCCCGCGGCCCGTTCAAGGTGAAATTAGGTCTCGGGCGGGCGGCCTGAATTTTTCAGGCGGGTCGGGCTCGGGCAAAAACTTAGTTTTTTCAGGCAGTCGCGAGCGGCCTGTCCAAAGTTTCAGCACTCTGAACCTGCGTTTTATACCTCTAGTGGCTTTAGCTTGGTTTTAGCTGTTTCTATGCCATTGCCTTTTGTAGTTTATTGATAACTCTAAAATATTAGAGTTATTTTATGCATTTTTAGCTTAAAGTTTGCTTAGCCAAGAGTGTATTTCATTATTTTTTGCTATATTTTAACTTAGATTTTCTGGTTTTGCATTTTATCTTGCTAAATTATGTACTTGTGCTGGTCTCGGGTTAAGAAGGAGTCATTTGAGTCAAAAAGAGGTTGAAATATGCCTAAGTTGTGATTTTGCAAATTGCAGGGGGAAAGCAGTAGCATTTTGCTGCAGCATTCTGGGTGTAGCTAGCAAGTGGTATGACATCAGCGCACTACCTGGAGGAAAAGGACAAAAGACCCATGTGAGCTGATTGAGCTGTACAGTAGTGTGGACCACTTCAACCCTTATCAATTGACACCTCAGTCCTTTTGTTGCCCTAAGAAGGAAGTGCTTTCTGTAGGAGAGGAGCAGCCACCAAGTACATGAAGAGAAAAATAGAAGGAAAAAAATATAGTACAATACTGAGAGAAAAACCAAGTACCAGAGACGTGAGAAAAGAAAGAAAAAATTCAAGAGAGAGAGCTGCAGAGAAGAGGATCCGAATGGAAGGACAAGGAGAAATTCTAGAAGATCCAATATCCAGCTCCTCAATTCTTCTTCTTTTTGTTAGCTCGATTCTTTTATCATTTTTTATATTAATTAAGACATGAATTACTCTGAAAATCTGGCTTTTGTAATTACCATTATGAACTAATTTGTTAAGCTAGATCTGCTAATGGAATCGATGTTGTAAGGATGATGGTTGCTTGAGGAATGTTGATTAATTCTAGTTCCTGTTCATCTATGTATGCTTAATGCTTATTTTTGTCTTTGACTGGCCATCAATCATAGAATACAAAACTAAGATTAATACTGGAAATGTTAATTTTAGTTAGATCTAACATAGATGACGCAAGTTCAATAATCTTGTTTAAGTTTATTGATTTGTGAATAATATAGGAATATATTGTTCATCTTGCATAACATATAGAAATCCGAGCTTAATTTGCATTCTAAAACTAGATTCACATAGGAATATGCTTGAAATGGTTGAGGAATTTGTAGACATGAAGACATGGAAGAATCTTATGCATAATAAATGAGTTTCTGTTAATAGGACATTTATGCTATAGCATTCTTATAGCATTCTTTGTCAGATTTGCAACTAAGGAGAAGTTAATAGGTATAGCTGATTACTTCACTACATACACTCCATTTTAGCATTCTTGATTATCTGGTTAATCTTTTCTTACATTTCATTTTACATTTATGTATTTAAACAATTGAGTAATTTCTGAACAGTCAATTTCTTTTATCATTTTAAAACGGGTAAACTAGTTGATTGCTGCATGTACACTTGGTTATTCATTCTCTGTGGGACGACATCCGTACTCTGTACACTTTATTACTTGTCTGCGATACGTGTACTTGCGAGCATAAAAATCACGCAACATTTGTATCTGTGTGCCATTGGACATGTTGTCATTTAGTTAAATGAAAATTCAGTTTTAGTAATAAAAAAAAAAAATTCTAACTTATTGGAATTCTTTTAGGACTTTCTCTGGTGTTCCCTACTTTTTAAAAACACTGATGTTCCCTGCTTTTTAACCGTTAGATCTATATCAGAATTCATCTGTTCTGGATACTTTTTAATCTAGTATATTTTAATCAGATCTAACTATTAAAAAACAAAGAACACCGGTGTTTCCAAAAAGGAGAAAACACCAGAGAAATTCCCAATTCTTTTTAATAAAATAACTTATTGGAATTTATTATATTTTTTTTTCTTTTACTACAACAATATTTAAATATTTTAAAAGAAAATCAAACACTACACTTTCTAGTAAAAAACTGAGACAGTTATAAAAGATGAAAACTCGTCTTTCCTATTGTAATACATTTTAAAAATTTATCATATATGTATTTTGTAGTTATTGAAAGATATTACTTTTTTATTCTATATTTTTTATATTATTATTTCGTTCAAAAAAATAGTGTACGCTCCCACTAACTGCACCACTGTTTTCACTAATGTGTTATTTACTATAAATTTTATAGTAAAATTTGACTAATCTTGCTGAAATTTGAAATATAAAAAAGATTTAGACAATTTTACAAATAGCAAAAATTATATCATTAAATTAAAGAGTGCTAAATACAAACTATATTTCATACTCTTTTCCAGGTGCTCTCCAATTTTTTTTTGACAAACATCTCAACTTTCTTAAATAAACCCACTAAATAACAAACATGAAATCTCACAAACACCTCTCATGAAACACCATTACAAAGAACCGGTCTTACTGTTATGCTTTCTCTTCCCTTCAGATCCCTCACACAAACACCATTCATGAACCTCAAGAAATTCGCTTCCTAAAGACCCAGAAAACTATTAGACGATTAATCAATTTGATCCACTTTTTTCAACCATTTAATCAACCATTCTTTATCACCAAAATGGAAAAAAAAAAAAAAAAAAAAAAAATCAACCACTCAACTCAACCACTGCACCATTTTTTGTTTTTTGGCCGAAACCCCTCCACCTCTCTTTGTATTCTCCATGAGAGTCCACAACTATTCTTCACTTCATTAATCAATTTTAATTGCATTATTGCATTGAGTTTTTATTTTGTTTATTCTCCCTTTTTTTATTTTTTTATTTTTCTAATAGCATCATGGATGGGAGGGTTTATTTATCTGAAAGAACGAGTATTCAAAAAAAAAAGAACGATAGGCGAGAGAGATGAGAAAGCTGAAGGGGTGATGTACACAGGAGAGAGAATATGGGAGAAGAAAGGGTCGGCATCTTGTAAATAATTATGAAAAAAAGGACTTGTTATGGTGCGTTTGAGAAAGTCAGGAGGAGACTTGTCAAGGGATTAGGGTGATATCTGTAAAAGAATCTAAATATTGTATTTAGTACTCTTAAAATAATCGCGTCATTTTTTAGTATAGACATAAATATCATTATTATAATTATTTTGTATTTTTTACTATTTTATGAATTTAGATATTTATCCTTTATTTTTAATTCAATTATTTTAATTAAAAAGATATTCCAAGTAAAAATCAAGATTCACGTCAGTTTAACTCATTTCCTCAAAAAGATTGCTATATTTCGACAACACTTTCATCAATTTGATATGTAGTGTAATTTTTACTTCTTTTTATTTTCTTTCTTGTTTTAAATAATGAAAATTCATTTTTACTAATTAAAAGCGTTGTTTCTAAAACTAAATTGATATTCAAAATAAAATAGGGAATACAATGACATGGTGTAGTTGAGTTCAAAAAAACTACGTCTTTATTTTGTTTTCAAAATTTCTTGTCGTTTCATAGTTTCACCATAACGGTACGTCATTTAAGATACAAAAATCTTTCAATCGCACGAAAACGACATGTAAGTCATCTTTTACAAGTCTTGTTTTTTATCCCGTAAATCAAAATTAAAATACGTCATATCACACTTTTCCGCGTCAAAGTTTGTTTTGTTTAAAGCGAAACAACACGTAGAAAATCATGTCGTTTAAGCGAACATTGTAGTCAAATTTTCAATTAAAAATCAGCACCACTGCCTTCAAAAAAAAAAAAAAAAAAATTTAGTGGGGCACTTCATGTTCCCTAACCTATAACAAGCAATCTACCACGTAGAAAGGACTCAATCAGCACCACCGCTTGATTCTTACCTAGATTGATGAAAAACATTGCTAGAATAATACATGTAGAAAAACAATTCCATATTCATTTCATCTATATGATTCAAGTACAATAGCCTATGTAATCACAGTTGCTTTACAGTCGATCTAAACAAAACTTCTCAAGCAAACCCGAGGACGGCAACAACGACAAATGAGGCCCAAAAGAACTTTCCTGTCCAAAAAAAGTGGGAAAAGTGCTAATCATTCTTCTCCAACTTACACGTCTTCGTCAGTCTTTCACAAGCTGGTAAAACCTGCAACCAATTTTAAGTGTATTCCTGTCCTGTACAAGCTTTCTGTAGTTCCTACACTCAAAACTAAAGTTCGTAACCCTTTGTTAGCAAATAAAAACAAGAAAATGGAACTTGCCAAGGATGTGCACTGCGATATCATCGATGACTTGAGGCCTCATAATCTTGAGCAAATGCGAATCCTACCGGACTGGCTACTCACCTCAAATAACGAAGCTTCAATCAAGATCTATACCCTTTGCTTTAGCTGCTTCTGCAATAGCTTTAGTTTTTTCGGTATTCCCATAAAGGAGCTGATAGGATTTCCACAGCTTGACAGAAAATGGATATGCCAATAACGCTCTTCCATAAAACCTCTGTGAAAGGACCTCAACACCCTTGACTTTGCCCAAGATGGTCGCAGCTTCTACCCATACGCACTCTGGTGGAATTGGGATGGCATGAAGAATTGTATTAACTAGGTTTGAGCTTGCCCAGAAGCACATACTCACAGAAGTAAAATGAGTAGACTCGTCACGCTTTCTGAACAGTTTACAGACAGACATAGCTAACACATAGTTAGATGGACATATATCCAACATACCTTCAACAAAATCCACCAAATGCTTTGGTTCAGTGAATTCTTCAGGTAAAAGAGATGGTCCGAACCACACCTCAAGAACCAAGTTTACCAGAAAAAAATCAGATGAAACTGGACTGAACATGTTATTAATTAGTTGTTGGACTCTTGGTTTCTTGATGTTGTTAATAAATTTTCTAGGCAAAGGCTCGGGGACAGGGAAATCCTGCAAAACACCTATGTAATGCTCCAAAATGTTCTCCATACCACTGATAGAAGCAGGCTCCTTAAGTACTGATTCACCAGTGAGACATAACGTGGCATGCTCTCTAAAGCAGTACTTAAAATATTTGGGAATAGCAGTCTTCAATGCCTTCTCAGCAGCTATGCGAGCTGCGACGTGATCATTTTGCCATAATTTATAAAGAGAGAGGTTAAGAAATCCAAACATTTCATCAATTTTATCAAGACCTGGAGAAATTTCCAAAATTGAATCTGAAGCTGATTCTGGCAACCCATCTTTGTTCTCACTATCCACGCCAGGCAGTACACCATTTTGGTGATAATGGACTTTCCAAACAGAGTGAAACCAACGGTCCAGGAGTTCTTTTCCAAACTCACGTCCTCCATTCTGGAGAGCACATTGAGCATACTGATTCCAAACACACTGAATTCCTGGGACTTCTTTTGGCCAGTTAATAAGGATTTCCTCGAAACCCACACTCAGATCCCTGAATTCTTGTTTATGAGCTCGAGTTGATATTAAAACAAGCTCTAAGCAGAATGGATATAGTCCAAGATATCTATCCAACAAATTTCCACAATATTCCAAACTGCCTAGTGCAGCCATGCACCTTATGTGGCTGACGGCAAAAAGTTGTGCTGATTTTACGTTAGTATCGTCACTTCTAAGTGATTCAATTTTCATCAATGAAGCAACAGAAACTGCTCCTTTTTCCATCAGCTTAACAGCCATCTGCTTCTCATCATCTGGTAAAAGAATCGAAGGCCATTCAATTTCCAAGAGTAGTTTCTCGCATTCAAATTGCCTTACTACAGCTTCTGGTAGTTTCCTATAAATAACCAAGTACACACTACAAACCCAGAATATGCATTTATCAGAAATTTTCAGGCATGAATGTATATCAGAGAGCAACAGTAGACGCTCATGAGAATTTTTGTCTGCAGCAGAGAATTCAAATATTTTCTGAATAGCCTTTTCAACATTTCCAGACATGCATAGGCAATCTATCATTTGCAAAAACAGATCCAAGATGCAGGCGCTAGTATGCACCCCATCCCACTCAGAAGCAGAAGCATTGTGGCAAAGCGCTGAGAGTGCTGCGTCATATGTAGCCAACCGATCATGAAGATGCATGCGGCTGTTGATATACATTAACCAGAGCTCATAAGATCCTGCATTGTATTTGACCTGAAGAACAAGAGAAAAAAGTGTTCCATAAAGTTTCAATCCCATATCATGATTCAGGAAATGCAGTAAAAAAAATATACGGCTTTTTCTCCATTTTAACTCCACTGATTAAGCAGCAATTTTGACGAATTAGGCAGTCTTAACAGGTGCAAAGGTAACTATTCCCGTTAGTGCTTCTGTTGGAAAATCGAAACTGTTTTGGAAACAATCCTTGTAAAGCTGTAAATTAGCTAATTAGTTGTCAATCTTTGTAGTTTAGGAAAGTAGCTGTTAGAAGTTTTACTCTTCCTAGAATTAGCTATATTCCTTAAATCAGAGATTACTTTCCTGATTTTAAGGATTTGTATATGCTGTGTAAATCCTATAAATACATGATCAATGAAAGAAATTAATTATTCCCTGAAACACTCAATTTCAAGTTGGTATCAAAGCGGGAGAATTACTTGCTGAAATCATTCTCCTTCTTCCTCTAATTCGATCCTCTGCTCTTTCTATCACCATGTCAGACACTTCAAATGAATCCACTATTGTTCCTCAATCATATTCGAACAATCCCATCACCACTGATTCCACAAAAATCAGTACAACCACTTCGGAATCCCATTATGTCCAAATCACCACAATTCGATTGAATGGTGACAGTTTTCTGAGATGGTCTCAATCAGTTCGGATGTACATCAGAGAACGTGGAAAAGAAGGCTCCTGCAGTGGATGATCCGAACTATGCTACATGGGACGCTGAGAATTCCACGGTGATGACATGGCTCGTGAACTCTATGGAAGAAGACATTAGCTCTAATTACATGTGCTATCCAACGGCACAAGAGCTTTGGGAGAATGTAAATTAGATGTATTCTGATTTAGGGAATCAATCCCAGATCTTTGAGTTGACTCTCAAACTCGGTGAAGTGCGGCAAGGGGAGGACAACGTCACAAAATACTTCAATTCTTTGAAGCGAATTTGGCAAGATCTTGACCTCTTCAATACCTATGAGTGGAAATCTGCCGAGGATGGGCGCCATCATAAGAAGACTGTGGAGGATAATCGTATCTTCAAATTCTTGGCTGGCCTCAATGTCGAGTTTGATGAGGTGAGGGGGAGAATCATTGGAAGACAACCCCTGCCTTCAATTGGTGAAGTTTTTTCGGAAGTTAGAAGAGAGGAGAGTCAGAGGAATGTGATGTTGGGCAAGAAGGGACCTAGAGTTGCTGTTGAAGGTTCAGCCTTGGTAACCACGGGTGGAGGCTATAACAAAGCCACCACATATCAGCGTAAACCTGATGAAAAACCATGTGTTTGGTGTGATTTTTGCAACAAGCCTCGCCATTCGCGTGAAAATTGTTGGAGAATCCATGGGAAACCTGCGAATTGGAAAGGTAAAACAGGTGACAAACCAGGACAAGCCCTCCCTGCTGCTAATGAGGCCGAAACCAACCCCTTCACTAAGGAGCAGATGGCGCATCTTCTTACACTGCTGAAATCCAACTCGACATCTGGTACTCCTAGTGCTTCTGTGGTACACACAAGAAATGAATTATATGCTCTAGCTTGTCATTTCAAATCATCTGCTCCATGGATAATCGATTCTGGAGCATCCGACCATATGACCAACTCTTCAAATCTGTTTGAATCATATTCACCGTGTCCTGGAAATAGAAAGGTTAGGATAGCTGATGGTAATTTCTCACCAATTGCAGGAAAAGGTCTGATAAAAATTGATGAGGGAATAGATCTTAAATCTGTTCTCCATGTTCCTAAACTTACTTGTAATCTCTTATATGTCACCAAATTATCTAGAGATTCTAATTGTTGTGTCACCTTCTATGAATCCCATTGTATTTTTCAGGACCAAAGCTCAGGGAAGACGATTGGCAGTTCTAGGATGATCAATGGTCTCTACTATTTTGAGGATAATTTACCTAGTAATAAAATTGCTCAAGGACTTGGTAGTATTAGTTCTCTTTCTGTTCGTGATCAAATAATGGTTTGACATTGCAGATTAAGCCATCCTAGTTTTTCTTATTTAAAACATTTGTTTCCAGTGTTATTTAAAAAGGTTGATCCTTTATCATTTCAATGTGAAAGCTGTTTATTGGCAAAGAGCCAACGTAAACCTTATATCCAAAAAGCTTATCAAGCTTCAAAACCATTTTATCTTTTTCACAGCGATGTTTGGGGACCCTCAAAGGTAACCACTGTTTCAGGAAAAAAAATGGTTTGTAACCTTTATAGACGACCATACTCATCTTTGTTGGGTATATTTAATGCGGGAAAATCTGAAATTGAAAGAAGTTTTAAAGATTTTTACACAATGATTGAAAATCAATTTCAAACAAAAATCAGCATTTTGAGATCTGATAATGGAACGGAATATTTTAAAAAAGTTTTGGAAACCTTTTTAAAAGAAAAAGGTATTTTACATCAATCATGTTCAGATACTCCTGAACAAAACGGAATAGTTGAACGCAAAAATAAGCACCTGTTAGAAGTAGCCCGGGCTATGATGTTTTACATGAATATTCCAAAATACTTATGGGGGGATGCCATACTAACTGCATCATATCTAATCAACAGGATGCCCACAAAAGTTTAACAGTACACTACCCCGTTGGAGTGTTTAAAAAAGGTATTTCCCGAATCTCGAATTAATTCTGAATTACCTTTGAAAATATTTGGTTGCACTGCATATGTGCACCTTCCAAAAAGGTCACGGTCTAAGTTAGACCCAAGAGCAGAAAAATGCGTTTTTGTAGGATATACTCCTAATAAAAAGGGTTACAAGTTTTTTAATCCCACTACAAAACGGTTTCACACAACTATGGATGTTTCTTTTATGGAAAATACCCCATATTTGACCAAAAATTTACTTCAAGGGGAGAATTTAGTTGAACCAAATTTTTGGGAAATTGCTGAACCCTTACCTAATCCGATTCTTGATATCCCTCTTAAATCACTGGAAAAAGAAAATAAGGAAACTAAACCCACTGAATCCGAATCTGATATCATTGGTCTGTCAGAAAAAGAAATATTACGAATGGAAAAAAATCGAAGCAATCTTGAGCCTGTGGTTTATGCAAGGAAGAATATCCCTGGAAGAAGTAAAGACAAATTAATCATCCAAACACATGGTCAAACGGAAGCCCTGGGTGATGGCCTTCCAAGTGTCTCAGGTAATTCTCCTTCTATTCCTACTCTTATACATTCTTTACCATCACACTCTAATCCTAATTCTGAAATATCTGCACCCGAAGCTGGTTTAGAATTAGGTCCAGTAATTACTACACAAGTCCTTGACCGTGATCTTCCCATTGCCCATAGAAAAGGAACCCGCATGTGCACTAAACATCCTATTGCCAAATATATTTCCTACAATAACCTTTCCAACAACTATAGACCATTCACTACAAATATTTCAAAGCTTGAGGCACCTAGAAACATTCAGGAAGCACTAGATGAACCAAGTTGGCAATTGGCAGTGTTTGAGGAAATGAATGCCTTGAAAAAAATGGTACTTGGGAGATTGTAGAATTACTAAGAGGGAAAAAAATTGTAGGGTGCAAATGGGTTTTTACAATAAAGAGTAAAGCTGATGGAAGTGTTGAGAGATATAAAGCTAGGCTTGAGGCAAAAGGTTTCACTCAAACCTGTGGGGTAGACTACCAAGAGACTTTTGCCCCAATAGCTAAAATAAACTCAATTAGAGTTTTGTTGTCCCTTGCAATAAATTCCAATTGGCCGCCCTTACATCAATTGGATGTTAAAAATGCCTTCCTTAATGGAGACCTAGAGGAGGAAGTGTTCATGAGTCCGCCACCAGGTTTCAAAGAGAGTTTTGGAGTTGGGAAAGTGTGCAAACTGAAGAAGTCCTTATACGGACTCAAGCAATCCCCTAGAGCTTGGTTTGAACGCTTTGGCAAGGTGATAAAGCGTTATGGATACACTCAAAGTCAAGTTGATCACACTATGTTCTACAAACATTCAAAGGAAGGGAAAGTGGCCATCTTAATTGTGTATGTGGATAATATAGTGCTAACTGGGGATGATTGTAGTGAACTAAAGAAGTTAAAAGGAAGGCTCGCCAAAGAATTTGAGATCAAGGACTTGGGGGCATTAAAATACTTTCTTGGAATGGAGTTTGCTAGGTCCAAAGAAGGTATTTTTATAAACCAGCGTAAGTATGGGCTTGATCTACTTAATGAGACAGGTATGTTAGGTTGCAAACCTGCTGAAACACCAATAGAGACTAATGTAAAGCTACAGCCTGCAAAAGCCGAGAGTGTGAAGGACAGAGAGCGTTATCAGAGACTTGTTAGGAGACTGATTTACCTATCTCATACACGCCTTGAAATAGCGTTCTCGGTAAGCATGGTTAGTCAGTTTATGCATTCACCCGGTTCGGAGCATTTTGAAGCTATTTACGGGATTCTAAGGTATCTAAAGGGGACACCAGGTAAAGGCCTTCTGTTTACGTCACGGGGACATCTACAAATTGAAGCCTTCACTGATGCAGACTGGGTTGGAAGTATAGTGGATCGAAGATCTACCTCAGGGTACTGCTCATTTGTAGGTGGCAACTTGGTTACATGGCGAAGCAAAAAACAGAACGTGGTCGCTAGAAGTAGTGCGGAGGCTGAGTTTAGAGCTATGGCTCATGGCATCTGTGAGATTATGTGGATAAGAAGATTGCTAGAGGAATTAAAGGCGTCAGGGTCATCTCCTATGAAGTTGTACTGTGACAACAAGGCTGCAATTTCAATTGCCCATAATCCAATTCTCCATGACCGCACGAAACATGTAGAAGTGGATAAGCATTTCATTAAGGAGAAGATAGATAACGGTTTGGTTTGTATGACCTATATTCCTACCGAGGAACAAGTGGCAGATGTCTTCACCAAAGGGCTATACAAAAAACAGTTTGATTTTTTAGTTGGCAAGCTGGCTATGGAAGATATCTTTAGACCAGCTTGAGGAGTGTTGGAAAATCGAAACTGTTTTGGAAACAATCCTTGTAAAGCTGTAAATTAGCTAATTAGTTGTCAATCTTTGTATTTTAGGAAAGTAGCTGTTAGAAGTTATTATCTTCCTAGAATTAGCTATATTCCTTAAATCAGTTCCATAAAGTTTCAATCCCATATCATGATTCAGGAAATGCAGTAAAAAAAAAAATACTTTTTCCCCATTTTAACTCCACTGTGATTAAGCAGCAATTTTGACGAATTAGGCAGTCTTAACAGGTGCAAAGGTGTAACTATTTCCGTCAGTGCTTCTAATGTCCAAGACTAACCAGGAAAAGCAATTTAAGATCTAAACATAAAGCGGACAAATACATTAACGCAACACCTACAGGACTGTCTTCATAGTGCAGGTACTCTCATAGCAGACTCCAGATAGTAGGAAACATGTGTAAACATGAAATGACTTACCGCATAAAAGAACATGTCATCCTTCCCTACAGAATCCACAGTGCTATGGTAAATGAGAAGATAAAGTATCCAGAGAAATACAGAAGCTGGATCATCCTCAAGAGCTCGAGATATAACAGCAAGAGCCTGGAAACTCAAAATTCAAAATGACAGGAAGTCAAGCTTCTGAACAACGATTCTAATGCTGCAGAGCACATTCTGAAAATGTATACTGTAGAAATTACCTTTTTCATACCCTCAAGTTTGTCAACTGCCTGATTGAATATTATGACAGCGATTTCCAGGGCTTGCTCATAGTCAGCCAAAGATTGTGTGAGTTGATTCTAAGCATACATCACACCAGAAGGAAAATTAGCAGGAATAAGATAATGGTCCAAAAACACATTAAGACTGTTATTTTCAGCTATACGAACTAAATAGCTTGAAAATTATGGGAATTCAAGAAAAAATATGCGCATAACGCAGGAGAAATAAAAATAAAAACCTCTAGAAAATCCAGAAAGCTCGTCTAATTAAAAAAAAAAAACTAAGCTTATAATGTCATCACCACAGGCAGTTGCACTGTAAACTATTTTCTCAGTGCAGGAGACGGCATATGAACACACTTATTTATTTATAATATATACATCCAGAAAGTGCGCCAAAATAATTAATAAAGCTATTGCAAATTGCAACTAGCATCAAATGCCTTTGCCAAAAAATTTTGCAATTGCAATTGCAATTGATCAAAAAATAGCTCCAGAACACAATCACAAATAAGAGGAGACCATGCTTTGCAACAGTATAGTGATCTAGAGATTCTGTTACTATACATAGAGAATGCCAATAACATAAACCCCTATATTTGCAGAACTATTTTCATTATCACATATACTCCAAACAAGGCATAATATAAAAAGTTCAAACTAATCATAAAGCTGACAAAACATGGCACTGGAAGATATACGACATCAGTAAATGAAATAATAGTAATACGAGGGTCATAATAAAGAAAGAGGAACAAAATTGATAAACAAACCACTATGCCACTTCTACTCATAAAATAAGATGACGTTCTACTCCAACTCCCTTCAACCTCTATCCGACCATCACTACCATGCAAGAGTGGCCCATATCCAGGCAAATCCTTTTGAGACAAATTTGATAGTGTCAAGGAAAGACTGAAGCACTTCTGCCAACATCGATCGTTTCTCCATGCTAGAACAGACTTGTATGAATGCAAATCAGCTTTCAGAGTATCTAAGCCTATTAGATATGTTGGTGAGATCATAACGTCATGGCACTTGGGATTTTTTGCTGCAGCATTACAAACTATTTTAGGTAACATTAATCCAAACAGATAATGAAACAAACTATATTCAAAAAAAGTAAGGGACAAAAACACCAGGTTCTCAATTTTCATTTCCAAAGTTAAGAAGGGAGTCCCGTACCATTATTATCAGAATCACCACGCTTATCATGAGACACAGTTCTATTAAGGTTGTCTCGAACATGCTGCCAAGGACATTCATCATTGTTGCACTTTCCTCGAAGCTCATACATGCAAAGTGGCCGAAATGGATCAATTGCAATATCACAAGTATAAGGGCCATTTCCTCTTGCATATAATTCCGCAACAGTCTCACATGTCGAGTCTGGTTTAGTCTCATATGTTGAGTCTGGTTTAGTATTGTTCCACTGGACTTTTTCAGGGCCGACACAGCCCTCTTCATTGTGTCTAGTACCACTGGTGTACTTTTGTTGATTTCTAGCAAGCCATTGCGTTAAAGTCAATGGGAATGAAATCTTTAAATGACCAAAGGCACTCCTAAAGATGTTAGGAGCTGAAATCTCTGAGATTAATACGCAAGAACCTTCTTTGTTGAAAAATCTATTGTCCTCAAAATTATCAAAAGAGTGAGCATTTTCGATATAGCAGCCCTGCTGAATTTCCATAGGGACCTCGGAGTCCCTAATCTCTCGTCTAACAGGGCCTAAAAGTAAGAATAACATATTGAACAGAAGCATTTGAAACTAATTATATAGCAGAAAAGCTACAATACTCGAGTTCATTGCTTTAAAAATAAATATTAAGTAAATAAAAGACACGACATTAATTATCAGTGGCCGTCATAATAACATTACAAAGTGCAGCAAGTTCCACGTGAAAAATAACTGAATTCACATCAAATTTGTATCCATTAACGTCTAAAAGAAGACACCATTTTGTATTGAGGAAAAAAATAATAATTTGAATTGCCTTGGAAAAAAAAAAAAAACTAACCATCCATGTGGCTTAAAAGATTAATTTACTGAACCAGCATAATCTATCAGGTTCTACATTTATCATGACACCATCAGCATTAAAGAGCCAAATATTAAAAGGAAGTTACCTCCACGATCAGATTGTTCACTTTTATCTGCAATAGAGGACGGAAAACTCAATAAGCTTGTATGGGTTTTCTCTTTGCTGGCATAATTTTCACAATTCTTTGACAAACCATTTGTTCCTAGCCTTGCAAGTAGTTCAGACCTTAATGTTGCTTCAATAAAATATCCGTGGGAGCTATCAATCGTCAAGTTTCTGCTTCTTACTTTATTTACATCCTTCTCGTCATCATCAAACTTTGGGTTTTTTCCATGACACTCACCACTGGGTTGAATGGTGTCCTGTTCAAGTGAAACCATCTCGTCATCTTCATCTGCTGAAATGTTTTGATCATTCAACGGAGAACGAACTCCATCAGCAGTAGCTTTACCCTTATGGGACAATGTCTCAGATGTACTAGCATCTGGTTCACTGCAGGGTTCTGACCCCACATTTTGTCCATGCACATGTCTATATGATGTTTGAACTGGAACATTGTTGAGATATTGAAAATTTGAACCAACCCCTCGTGGACTAAGAACATCATACCCAGACTGTAACTGATGGCTAGATTGTATTAGAAACATATTTTCCGAGGCATCATTTGAGTAATCCAACTCAATGCCACCTTTCTCATTTTGCCTTGAGGGGCATAATAAACTTGAATTGTCCAGGGTAAAAGATCGCAAGTGGGCAGAGTATAATTCCCTTTTGCGATATAGATTAGTACATCTAGTATTAGCTTCGGCCAGAGCCCTCTGGGCTTTACGATAAGCTTTAAAAACATTTCTTTCTTCAATTTCACATATGCGCCTGTGCTCTTGTGCTTCCTCAAGATCCTTGTCCAGTGATTCCTCCATTTCAACCAACGACTGTATATTCATGTTGCTACCCCCTGACACATTTGCATTACTCAAACAAGTCCAGAGGCTTTCGTTGCTAAAGGGTGCCTACAATATCCAGATAACATGAATTCGTGAAAATAAATAGCACAAACCAACAAAACAGAGATCAGAAACATCTAGCACTTCATCAAAGACTAGTAGCAGACCTGATATATATTATCAGATGTAGTCTCAAATGTCTTGTCATTAGGTAAAATGTTAGGATGGCTGGCTCTTGCTATATCTTTTCCACGAGTTTCTCTGTTCAAGATAGAACTAGGTTCTTTGTGGCAACTCGCTTTACTTGGATTCAATTCCACATTGTTCTGCAAATTTAAAAATATAAGTAAATGAACACAATGATCTTTTGAATTATGAAAGAGCACACAAGTTACGGTTATTATAACTCCAAACCATGCTTTACAGTAGTATAGATGCCTGTCATTTCATAAACCTCAAAACCTTCGCCAAATACGTCTTCACAAAAAAATGGAGAAAAAAAAGGCCAAACTAGTAACCAGAACTACAGGCCAAGGAACATTGTTTTTGGCTTAGCACACACCTACAGGTATTCCTCAAGGGAGGCTGACAGCCTCGTGTACGTATGCTTGTTGCTATAGGATTACGCCTGTGGGGCATTAGTCGACCTAGTTATGTGAAATACTTTCAAGCAAGAGATTTTTATGGGCTTAAAAAATAAAATAAAAGAAATAAGGGGAGCAGGACACAGTTTGCTTTGGTTTTCAGTAGAGCATTTCTGCAAGCGGCTATTCCAAGCGGGTTTCATCATAGCACTCCAACAAGCATTGACACCTTAGGTTCATGTTTGGTTTTCTTTTACTCTTCCAACCTTCCTACATTTCTTTTCTAAAATTTTATTTTAGGGAAACAACGATACATTATTCCCGAGGAAAAAGGACTTTTCTACACTTTCTAATCTACTTTCTTTTCTTTTTCGTTTTCCTTTTATTTTTCTGGCTGGTGAGTTATTCTTTCATCTGGCCTCCATTCTCCCACTGCTGCTCGTTTGGCTTATGCTCTTTATATCAACTAGCCCGTTTTGATACTTTAAGCTTTGCATGAATCTAGTAGCATATTCCTCTCAAAAAAAACAAAACACAAAAACAAAAAAACAAAAAAAACAAAAACAAAAACAAAAGAACAAAAAACAAAAACAAGAAACAAAAACAAAAGCAAAAACAAAAACTAAAAAACTAAAAAACTCTAGTAACATAACTTAATTAGAATGAAATAATTTCCCTAATCAATTTTAGGTTATCACCTATAATGCGTTATATAGAAACATAACAAGTACTAAAAAGACTTTTTTTTAAAGAAAAAAAGAAACACAATACTTCATTATGATTTACACAAGTGCGAAAAACACCAACAAGGAGGACAGGGAGTCCAACTAAAAGACAGGTTAATCAAGTAATAGTGTCCTAATCTCATTTTCTCATAATATTCATTTTCAATGCTATGCTATTGCCTGTCTTCTCATGCCATTTTATTGATGCTATTGGCCTATTACTTTCATGTTCATACACTAGACTTGCCATTTTATTGATGCTATTGGCCTATTACTTTCATGTTCATACACTAGACTTGCCATTTTATTGATGCTATTGGCCTATTACTTTCATGTTCATACACTAGACTTTCGTTTATCAGATATTATGACTCGTTAAAATCTTTTATTGGTTTAAAATGTAGCTTACAGCATGCCTGCTAACATAAAATGCTGTGAATAAATATTAGTACGCGTGTGTAGTAAATGCTATTTTCCTTTTATTCAGTGAACTCGGCAGCAGCCTCTATTTGCCAATGAGGAAAATGTGACTTTTGTTATGTTACTACTAAATTCGAAGCACATCTAAACTAGACTAAGACCAGAAAAAAATAAGTTATATAAGCAATAGTGCTGGAAGAGGAGATCCTTATCCCTTGCTAAATTATTTGGGGAAGCAGTGGAAATTACATTTGTTGGTGATGTAGAACAGTTTAACATGACAGCAGGATCTGGATCCCGTTGCCTACTACTCCCATCAGATTGAGTGCAATTAGTGATGACCTTAGCACCTGCAGAGCAAAACCACCAAATTACTAGGTAGATCTAGAATTGTTACTGCATCGGGACTGAGAGAGACTATAAAATCTGTTACCATTGTTCATTCCAACAAGAGTATTTTCTGACAGGCCAGCTTTTTGTTTTTCATTTTGCTTCTTCCATTTGACAATACTCGACTCTATTCTACCCAAAGAAACTCCCTTGTGTCCATGATCAAATTTAATTGTGTCAAGTACATTATTATTCTGCATTGCTGGTTCTTTCAATAATAAAATAGATTTACCACCCCCAGCTTCTTTTGGGACAACTGCATTCAGCTGGGTTGAATAAGATCCACTAACTTTTGCACGTTTCTTGTCTGGCTCTTTTGGTTCTATTTGTGAACTTTTGGCAGAGGTTGCACCAAGCTTTCTAGTTGCATCACTATGCACAGTTAGAGCATTATCATCCCTAAATGAAGCTGATTCCTTACTTCGCTGTGCAGACTTAAGCTTCAATTCACTTTCCCGAAGTGCAATCTGCTGCCGCAAGTCCTGAAGCTTACTGACGTTCAAATTCATACCTTGATCATATCCACATTCTCGGCTTTGTAAATTTTTGCTAAGAGAATTAAATTTTCTAACTCGATTTCCTTGCTCAGCTGACGAGGCTCCAGCACTAATAAAATTGGGTCCTGGTGTTTTTGCGATTGCTGAAATAAACGTTCGATTTAAAGACAACCTTTTCGGCATAGTTTTGCTCACAGCGCTGGTGGTAGTCTTCTTGTTCAACTTTGACTGTGAAGGAGGAGGAGGCTTTCGATTGCCAACCACTCCAGTCATGTTACTTTTCGTTTCAGTAGCTTTTTCTTTTATGCATCCTTCAGAATCACTGCCACTGTCATCATCCGAGAAGCGTATCACAAGATTATCATTGGCTCCCACGTGGGGACACCATCCAGGGGTATTAGTTTTTGATGTTATCCGACCCTTATCAAAAGACTTTTGAGCAATAGGCTGTATAGGAGCACGAGACTGAATATCAACAACATTGCCTGGAGGACTATTTGCTGAAACAGCCTTCCCTGCGAAATAAGAGAAATCAAATTCAGCATATACTTGGTGTATAAAATATATAGTTTTGAAGCTCAAATTTTCATACAACCCACGTCAATAAGGATATAAAACACATAAAATAGAACTGGTAGGATATAAACACATAAAATACAAGTGGTCCAGTTCTAGCACGATGTGCAAGAGAATAAATGAAATCCCAACTATGGAAGTTTACCAGAAAGTGTCGCTAATAATCTCACAAGTTTGCTATATATAAGTACCAACATAGATATATATTTGTCACCTGCATTTGAATCGTTTAACTATACAGAATATGGATACAAGTGACGTGACCCCATATTAATCACACAATAGTTGTCAAAACAAACTACTGAAACGTGTACAGCAGTTTTGGAATGCAATAAAAAACTGAACGGTATACCTACAAATTACACGCCCTTTAGGAATTTTTAAATGAAGCAAGAGTTGCAACTCTCACTTTGCAATGACAAGCAAGACTTACCAACTTGGATGTCTTGGCTGCATTGGTTTGCTGGACGAACAGGAGCTGGTCCTGAAGGTGCAACGGTACTAGTGCACTGCGAGACAGAGCAGACGGGATCCTGCTGAGGAGGCGGAAGAATCTGTTCAAGATCAACAAATAACCATAAGAAAGTGGGAATCAAATGATGACCCAAATGAGATACCAATATGTATAGCCATTTACCGTTAAGGAATAACGTAAATATGGCACAAAAGTTTAAACCCAATTATGAAAGCATAATCAAATCGAAAGCAAGAAATAATACTTGGAAAAGTCGAGTTTCAAACACTACCATACTATATATGAGCACTGTATGCACACAAGTACAGAATGAAAATGAAACCCTTACAACTGAAGTTGAAGAGAATTGGCATACACAAACAAAAATTCTCACAAGACATAGGCCTGAGGGCTCAAACAACGTGTTTGGTTAATTAATTCTAGTTATGAACCTCATTCAACCTTCTAAATCGAATCAAATTTCATTACCATTCGCGAACGAAGAAGAAAACAGAAGAAAAAGCCGCAATCGGTTAGCTAAAGAAATGAAGAGAAATTCCATTCCATTGGGGTAGAAAAGCATCATTATAGCAAACCGTAAACCTTCAACTGCACTCATTTCCTCTATTTTCTCAGAATCCAAGCAAATTGCATCAAACGAAACATGCAAAAAGGGCAAGAATCTAATCCAAAGGAGAGGAAAAACAAAAGCAAAGTATAGGGATATGAGTTGGGGTTTGTGAAGACCGGTACGTCTTCATCGTCGGAAGATAGTTCGCCTTCCTCTCTGACCTTGGAGTGCTTGTTGCCAAGCTCGGGGCCGGGATTGATAGGCTCCGACGCCGTAGCTCCGGGCCTGACCTTGTCGGCGCCGTCCATCGCCGGATCGTTTCTCCGTTTTCTCTCTCTCAAGAAAGGGGAATCACACAGAGAGAATGATTGACTGCCCCAAAGCATTCCGTCTCTGATGCAAATCAAGAGAGAAGAATCCCAATAAACCAATTTTGGGGGCGCCGGTCGTCGTTCACGGAATGACCAAAATGCCCTCAGCTTTCCCAGGCTAAAAACGACATTTTGCTGATCGCCGCTTTTGGGATTAGAAGACGACAGGTAACTTTTTGTAGTTGAGTTATGTAGGTTGTTTTCTAAATTCGAGTTTTTAATTAAAGTTGCACAATAATATTTTTTAAGAATTTTTAACTGTAAAAATTTAAAATTTAAAATTTAAATTAGTAAAATAATAAAATCTTAAATATACAATTAGAAAGCGCAATTATATTCGTTGAATCTCATTATAACGTATTTAAATATAATAGATTTAAAGGAAAAATTAACATTTCATAAGACGAGATAAATAAGATCTATAAACAAGGACACATTTAAAAAAACAAACTAAGAAGAATTTATGAAAAAATGTTGCATTAGGGACATATAGTGTTGGACTTTCGGGCAGCGGGCATGCCCGATGCCTGAAATTTTTTGGGCACGGCGGGCAGGCCCGTCTCGCCGCCTGAAAATGATTTTCTTCGGGCACGGGCTCGGGTAGCCCGAAAATGGTAAGCCCCCGACCCGCCGGCGGGGGAGACGCCTTCTCCCGCCGTTCGCCGGATTTTTTTTGAATTTTCCGGCAAATACCTGAAGCTGCCCGAATTTTTGCCCGAATTACCCGAATTTTTTGTGACCGTTGCCCGAATTTTGGTGACCGTTGCCCGAATTTTGCCCCATGCCCGAAAAATGCCCGATTTTTTTTTACCGTTAGCCTGAAAATGCCTGAATTTTGAAAAAAAAACGGTCTTTTGCCCGAACCCGAACCCGAATTTTGCCTGAATTTTTGAACCAAATGGTCAGATTTTTACCCGTTGCCCGAACTACCCGAATTTTGCCCGACCTGCCCGAAAATTTTGTAGCCGTTGGACCCGAATTTTTGGGAGAAAAATTTTTTTTTTCAACCCAAAAATTTTCCTATAAATACCCCCCTCCTCCCAACCATTTTCCTCACCCCAAAACTCTCATTCTCTCTCAATTTCTCTTAATCTCTCTCAATTTCTCTTAATCTCTCTCAAATCTCTCTTAATCTCGCTTAAATCTCTCTCGAATCTCGATCTCTCTTAAGCTCTCTCAAAGCGCTCTCAATCTCTCTTATTTTTCATAATGGCTTCTTCTGGTTATGGTGGTGGTGGTGATATTCCTATTGATGCCAAATTCAACATCGAAGAAGGGCAATTTCCTAATGTTTTTTAATCGCAGGAATC